CTTTTTTGTGAATTAAGTTCTTTTTTTTTTAATAGAATGCCGCATTGTTTTATGGCGTTTATAAATTATTCTAATTAGAAATTGTAATTGTAATCGTAATCGTCGGAATGATAGGTCTGTAGCTCAACTGTGAAATTAAACTCACAATGCATTTAACTTCTGTATTAAACTCGATGTAGATATGTGTAGTAATTGACTGCGTAAATAAATAATTATGAGACAACATCACATAATTGCTCAGCTTTCAAATTAGAAATCTAAAAAAAAGAATAACACCCAGACCACGTATGAAAGTTCAATTTCTTCACTAATATTAAAGGGGAATCCCATAAAATAAACGTGACTTTTTTTCCTTTCTCCTTTATAGATTTATGGGTAGGTCAACCGTGCGCGAGTCTGATTGTCAATTGGCCGGCTGTTACTTATTATGTAGTTTATTTGCCCATATCAAACTTTAAATCTAACTGCTGGAGATAGATGACCTACTCACCCGTCATACTGGCGAAATTACTCAGAACATCTGCAAAATGTTTAAATTTTCAACAGAAATTTAATCATATTGGTCACGTCAAAAAGTGTAATTAAACATGTTTTGTTTAGTTAATGTTTGATGTATTTATCTTATAGTTTCATTTCCAAATCTAGAATAAGATGAAAAATATTTTCTTTAGAAAAACGTCGAAGATAAAATTCTATATGTTAGCTTAGCTATATTGTAGTCAAATCCTACAGTTTAATTTCCAAATCTAGAACACCTGACAGTTCCATTACTAAATACTAACACAATTTATTTAATTGCTAATTATTAACAACAGCGATGACATCGAATAAACTTAACTTACACAACAAACAAACAGGTTCTCCACAATAATCTCAGAAACTCACTCTGATTATTCATTTTTAAATTTATAATATCTCATAATCGCATCTTTATAGAATCTCGAATACTTGTATTTTGCCAATGTACTGTCTACCTGAAGTTTTTTTTTTTGAGGAACTAACAGTTTTATACATTTTATGAGCATAAAATATTAACAAAAAGTAAACCTACAGTTCCCTATATTATATTTTTTATAATACAATTCAACCATTGAAGATAACTTTCTATAAAAAATATTTAATTACTACAATTATACATACCATACAAAGCAATGATCAATATCAAATATTAATAAAGTTCAATTTTATTATTTAACTGTCGCCATCGACATGTGATATGGCACTAATAATAACTAATATTGGAGTTTAAATTGACAGTACATTGCTAAAATGCGAGTCGTTGAAATTCTAATGTATGTAAACATTAGCAGAATTGGACTGCAAAGAGAGTTTCATACACACGGCTGCATGAAAGGGTACACGGGTTCGATGCTTGGGCGAATTAAAGAAAGGTTGACTAGCTTGAGAATTTATTTGATGGTAATAATATGTAAAGAAAAGAAACTGCAACAAACTAAAAATAGTTCGTATGTTTACCTAAATATAAAATTAAAATTGCTAAATAAAACTAATACATACTCCTTTTTGTGTTTCTTAATAAAAACTTGGACGCTATTACAGGATATCATTATATACATATATAATTTATAATTTTTATTTTAATCACATATCTTCATTATTTAAATATTTATACCTATTTAAAAATAATATGTTCTTAACAGAAGAATTTTTACGAACTGACATTCATAAAGAGCATATTTGATTAGTCAAAATTTCAAATTACGAAAGGTGAATAATGAAAAGAAATTATGTTGAATACCAAAGACAAAAAGTTTGCATGTTGAAACCTAGGACGAAATAAGCGGTGGTACGGCACACCGTTACACCACTATGTGTCAAATTATCGTTCTCAATCGATGGCCAGCGGAGTCTAAGTAATAGGGTCCCATTTTTATTCTTTGAGTACGCAACCCTAAAAAAACAGGACCCGATACGGCAAAACCTTCGAACCTAGCATTGTATTCAATCATTTAGGATGTCGACATAAATCTCATTTCTGTGCCCTGAAAATAATGCTCTGATTTATTTAAAATGAAATCGATGTTCGTCGGTAAATCTATCTTAATTATTTCATGGAAGCTGTAGTTTCAAAATGATTTATTCGTATCAGGATTAAAAGTTGTGTCCTCAGCCACCTACAATTGGGTCTAATATATTATTAAAAGCCCTTGTGCCTAATTTGCACTTTAATAAGTGGCGAGTTAACTTGCCTCTCTGACGAGTTGTCCTTATTGCCATTTTAATGACAGTTAAAATGACCGTTTAGCTGTTACTCTGTAGTTTAACTGCTGGATGCTCTGTGGTGAACCAAAACACGTGTATTAAGGCTAAATGTGGGCTAACGCGTTTGAATTTGCTACCAGTGTAGCAAGAGGTCTTCAAAATGGTAAATATCATACTTTGCCCTGGAATTAAGCGCGTTTCCTTTCAAACAAATGTATTTTGGGTTTATTTTAATATTTATTGCGGTAATTATGAATTACGGGTTAATTAGTGTCAGTGCTTAAAAAATGGAGCTGAGAAAAAGTAATGCAATATGAAGCGGGATGAAAGAAGGAACTCGGAGGTTAGTGTTTATTGGGATGTTCGATATTTTGAATACAATAATTTATTTATGTAGTATGTATGATTTAAGTTTAATCTCGTATGAAACAAACTTTGACAGGACCTCTCGCGACTGTCGTGGTATCTGGTGACCTAAAATATGGTAGCCCTCATTATACTGATCTATGGGACTGGCACCAAGAGCGCGGGCGACCTCTGCGGTCTCAAATCATCTGACCGATCTGACTGAATAAACAAAAATCAACCGCAAAGTCTGTCTCACGAAAGAAGTCCCGTGGAATAAACTGATTACTTTGTAATAAAAATGAAAACATTGTGTAGGAAATTCTTTTGTGAGACAAACTCCACTCCACAGGCACGTCATCAACCAGTATAACTAAGCCATTAGAGTGATGATTGCGAGAGAGAGAGAGATAAAGAGGGACAAGGAATGATGTAACATTACTAAAACACCCTATACTTGTATAACCATTCAGTTTTTCAAAAATTTAAGGAATAATTAAAATCACATACATTCTACTCGTAAATACAATACACTCCCTATTTGGGGAGTTGTGTAAAACTTCTCATGGTGATCATAATATTTTATATTACGCTATATACTTATAATTTTATCCAGAGCAATAAGTTATTTATGTGGTTTTATCATAACAAATATATATGAAGACAAACACAGATATTTAAGTATCTATACCGTATATTTTAAATTAATGGTATGTAATATATGGATACCATTAAAATGATTCCGTACAAATGTCAAATTTTAAAATTGTATTATACTTTTTAAACTTTCGGATGTTTTTTTTTTTCAAAATTTCGGTATCTTTATTAATATATTTAAATATATGAGATCCCCATAATAAACTTTTTAATAATGTCACATATTCGTTTGCCCTTTTCCCAATTATTTATTTGTGATCATAGCATTGAGTACTCTACTTCCATACTTCTTGATTATCCTTCATCACATAATTTAGGGTAGATGATCCGGTTTTGGCCATTTTGGAATCATGATCTAGTTTCGGCCATTTAAGAGTTATGAGGAAGTAAACTTCAACGCTTTTGTAGCTCGATGGTGCAGTGAATGGAGTAGCTCGCGAGCAACTTTTGCAAGGTTCGGTCACGGGATGGATGACAAAAAGATTATTATCTCAAGCTGCTCCGTGCTTCAGAAGGAATTATTTACGTTGTAGGTATACCAAATTAAAAGAAATTGAACATATTCCACTGTTCCGTATTATTTATTAACGATCATTTTTCAATTTGAACAAAGCATTTGTCTTAATTTTTTATCATTTGGTTTCTATAATGCAATGTTTAGGGTAACAAACCCTAAACAAAACGCACCAACGTGTAAAACGAGCAAGTTTTTTACGTTGTAAGTGCTGCCACCCATATAAACACAGCTGGCATATTATAAAAATTAATATAATTCATTTCATAAAACCAAGCTAAATTCGCGGCAAGTGTTTGTTGATGAAAGCTTCCAGCGACCTAATTATCGAAGCAGCTACTTACTGGGGCCCCATATCAAGATCAGAAAAAGCGGTGTACTTGGTAAGTGAGCTGATCGCATTGCTTAACTAACTTTCTTATGTACACATCAACCATTTTAAAATTGGTTTACCTACCAAATTTCAAATGGTGTAACATGTTCTCTGGGGTATGAAGATTTATACGGAACATTATTGTATAGTGTTGGCTGATGATAAACACACACGCACACATACATATACATACAATTCTGGCTGTATTTGGTTTAATTTTAATTTTGTTTTATGTAATCAAATAAAGAAAATCCGTAATTGGCATTATGATATGTTAAAATTGTTCTTCTATTATTAAGATACGAACTTGCTGTGGATTTTTTCTTAAAACCAATAAATAAATAAATATCTGGATTAGGTGTTCTAATCTTTGACAAGGTCAAATAATAGATGAAGAAAAATTTTCATATATAACATCTACCGCAGTTTTAATTATATATTTTCATTCATACAAAAACATTTGAGAGTCAAATAGTAGGTAATAAAATAATGACGTTCCAACAACGAATTTCGAATTACCCAATAGAAACTCTTTTATGTGGTAGTATTTGTCATAGTAAAAATTATAACTGTGGTTATAGTATAATTTTATTTTACAGTCGTATTAACTTTGTGCGAGAAGTGAAATAATTTAATGTTCCGGGGAGTTTGTGTTTTATGGCGTCGGTGTCGAGTAAGAAGCATGTAAATGGTTGCTCGTGGCAAAACGCTTAATAAAAATGAATAATTCGGGTGTGAAACAACATAATTTTACATATAAATCTAGTAATCTCTTGAAACATATCCACATAATACCAGCTACGCAGTCTTTACTGCACCCTTTATTATTTCTATTCCAGAATTTTGGATGTAATAAATATAAATTTCTGGCGTCATACCAAAACGACTTTATACAATAAGACTATAAAAACGGTAAACGTACCTTCTGAAATCTCTACTCCAGCACGCGTAGATAACAGGATTCATGGAAGAATTCACCCAGCCCAACCAGGTGACGACAACGTTCACAATCTCCTCGTGGGCTATGCAAGCTGAGCATATGCCCGACAGCAAATTCACCACGAAGAACGGCAACCAACACACTATAAACACACCCATCACTATTCCCAAAGTTTTAGCAGCTTTTTTCTCCTTCGCGAACTTTGCGAGTTTCCGCGACAAAGAGAAATTCTTAGGCAAGTGTTTAGCATGAGTCACATTGGTTAATCGCGTTGAGGAACGAGACAGCCCATTGTTTTGAAGAGCCGTCAATGGTTCCTGATCTGCTTCCTCGGGAGTGCAAACACCGTGACACGCATCACTTCTCTGCCTCACTGTACCACCTCTATGTATACGCAAAGTTAACTCCAATTCACCACTCGGTCTCATCACTTGTTTAGTACCTATCTTTAAGGATCGCGTCTGAATTGTCGCCGCTCGATATATACGGTAATAAGTGAACACCATTACAAACAAAGGCAAGTAAAAGGATATCGTCGATGAGAATATTAAGTACTCTAAGTTATCCGTGAACGGGCACTTGTAGTCTGGCACTTCTTCTATCCTTACCGCTCGCCACCACGCGATCGCCGGAAAAGATATAGCCCCTGAACATACCCAAACGGCGGCTATTAAAAATGCGGCTTTCCTACCGCTCATTCTCATTGGGTACGTTATTGGATCCGTAATAGCCCAGTAACGATCTAAGGAGATCACACACAAGTTCAGGATGGAAGCTGTGCTGAAAAGTACGTCAAGGGAACGCCAAACGTCACACCAATCGACACCGAAGAACCAGGTGTGTTCTAAAACTTCGTATAGAGCAGAGAAAGGCATCACTACTAAGCCGACGAGGCAATCAGCCACCGCCAGTGAGGTGACGAAATAATTTGTGGATGTATGTAAATATCGTTCTCTCACGACAGCTAATATCACTAACATGTTTCCGAAGACAGTTGTTAAGGAGAAAAGTAAAAGGAAAGCGACTAATATGGCTCGGTCTTGGAGTAACTGGATGTATTCGTTCCACGGCTCTCCTGAGTCGTCGGTGAGATTGTAACTTGATATATTCTCGAAGGTGACATTGAACTCTATGACGGCGTTATAGCTCCTCGGTGGGATGAGTGTATATTCAGGTCCTCTATATGTTATGTCCAGTTGGCCTGTTGCCACTACCGGTTCGGAATCGGTCCCGTTCATATTTCCCCCAATGGTTATTTGCTCACGAACGCCATGGTGAGTGTTTATGCTTCCCCTGTATCGCCCGCAGCCATTTCGAGATTACATTCTTGGCAGGCATTGTGTGTTCGTATTGCAATTTCTGGCACATGTTTCGTTGGCATATTTTTTGTCTTACTTCCCCCACAGTTTTTCAACCGCGTTCTGTAACAAAATAAAACATATTAGAAAACTTGTTTATTAAGAATGAAAAAACTATCTTTACATAACAGATAAAGTCATTTTGTATTAATAAATTAATTTATCTATCTTACTCACAACATTAATCATATTGATTTTATAAAGGCGAAAGTTTGTGGGTTTGGATGTTTGTTATTTCTTTATGCAAAAACTACTTAACGGAATTTAATGGAATTTGGTATACAGGTAATTAAGAATTGCCTATATATTAATATAGGTTACTTTTATCCCACTATAAGGTTCCCTGGGGATAGAAGAACGAGTCATACAAAAGAGCTTCGATCTTCTTCTAATAGATTACTTATTCTCCTTAAAGCCATTCTCCTATGGACTCCCCACAGACATCAGAATGGCCGCCGGTCGGCTTGCTTTTAAAACGATACGCAATTTCATATTAAATCAGGCAGAATCATAAAAATTGCTATTTCAAGTATTTATATATATTATCTATACATTTGTAAAAGGAGATGTCCTGACTTAACGACTGACAGACAACGCACAGCCGAAACAGCTGGTCTTAGAAACTTGAAATTTGGAGGGAACGTTCCCCTTAATACGTAGAGATGTACTAAGAACGAATTTTTGGAAATTCCATCCTGAAGGGGGTCAAAAAGGGTAAAACAGTTTGTATAAAACTTCTTTGTTTATGGATCTATGTCGATAAAAATTGGTATTTGGGTAGTTTATGACCCTTCTAGGAAGATAGGTTATATTTTATCCCGAAAACTAGTACTTAAAGGGATAAAAATGGGAGTGAAAGATTTTATGAGGAATCAAAATGTTACCATATCAACCATTGTATATAATAATAATATATAACAATCTGATTTGTCATTGTAATAAATTTATCTAATATTATTATCAAACCTTTTATTGTATAGCGATTAAAATTGGTATTTGAGAAAATATTATTTTTTTTAAATAAAAATGTTCAAATTCAAATAATTTTGTTTACTAAAGAAAAAATGTTTTGATATTATATATCAAAATATATATATCTTAAAGGTGACTGACTGACATAGTGATCTATCAACGCACAGCCCAAACCACTGGACGGATCGGGCTGAAATTTGGCATGCAGGTAGATGTTATAACGTAGGCATCCGCTTAGAAAGGATTTTGACCAATACTACCCCCAAGGGGATAAAATAGGGGATGTAGCTTTATTCCAGGTATTTAACACGATATAATTAATATATATTCGTTAGAATGCTGCTCAAAATAACTTTACCACGCGGACGAAGTCGCGGGCAAAAGCTAGTATCATATCGTCTTATACGAATGGTGAGTTTGGTGAAAAGGACGTGCTTTTTGACGCCATTTTAACATACCGCGCAACAGGCCTGTTCCTTCGGATAACGCCATTCGTTTATGGATAAACAACCTTGAACATACTGGATCTACGTCTTAAAACGAGGTGGGAGTACAAAAATCATTCGAATCCCTCAAAATATCGCTACTGTTCAACATGCAATGCTCAGTGCATAGATTCCAATGGAGCACATATGGCAAGTGTGTTTTTCAAAAAATATTTTTTTCACTTATTGTACAGTAAATGGCTACCTTTTTTCTTTATATGTATAACCATTAAATAATAAAATCAATTTTCTTAAAGTATTAGTTACTTATTTAAATCTTCCCATTTAACCGAGGCAGAAAATACCTAAGGCATAAGGTACGCCTTTGTACTATTGTGTATAGGGCAATTCTTTGAAAATGCGCATATTGCCTCACATTAAGAGATTGTATAAAAGTTGTGACAAAATGTATTCTTTACGCGCATTATACATTGCTGCAAACATACCCTTAAAGAAATTATACAAGGGAATAATGCAAGTCTTTTAATTTTTAACTGACAAACATTTAAATTTTTGAGTGAATGGTAATGATATTTACAGTAAATGGTAATTAGACAATGGTGAAGGTAATGAGAAATGGTAATTATAAATCAAATATCAAGAAGACAAAAGTATCAGCTTTTATTTAAGAATACAGCAGCACAGTTTTTATCAAAACTAACAAAATCACTAAATCGCCGAAAAGACAAAAATAATCAAAATACAAAAACATGGTCTAAATAAAGACATATTTTCTTTCTCTTTTAATCAGTTTTGAACATAAATTCTTACTTATTAGGTATTAAACAATGTAATAAACTTTGAAAAGCAATACTTAATGAACTTCTTGGTAAGGATTTGGAAGTACGCTGCAAAACAACGGAAAGTACACTTAAATATTAATCTTAGGATTTTGTTTTAATCAAAGGCTAATTCTGCAAAAAAGTTTTTATCTTACCTGTTATCTATTGATAAAATTAATAAAAATCAATTTAAAAGAAACAAACAACCAAAAAGTCTTGAGTAGCAATTGGAAATAAGCATCCAACTCAAAATTAAAGATTAATAAAAAAACAACTACTTAATTAAAAATAGATTCATAGGACTAGCATCATTTTTTTATGAAAAACTTACAAGAAATGCTCCTAACTGATTAGTTTTGCAAATTAATCTTAGGATTTTTTTGTCGGAAATATATCATTATGATATTTTCCCGACAAATAAAACGGTATTTAAATTATTAATTATGAACACTATTGTTTATTAACAATTAACAAAAACGTTCATAATTGACTAAAACACCGTTCTTTTTCGATCACAAAAATAATATTATAATTACCATCCTAAAATTTACTCATTACCATTTACTTTAGAGTAATAGGAAAATACGGTAATTATGCAAATGGTAATTAGGATTTCAAACATTTTATTGGTGAAAGAGTTCTTTATAAGAATTATGAAATTTTTACCTACTTTACCTAAAATTAGATCTTATAACAACTTAAATAAATGTATAAGTTAAACAAAATAATCATCTACTTACCATAAGAATGGAAAATGGTGATTAGACAATATTTCGACAAAAACACTACAACGGCGAGAGATCTGAATATGGTGCCAAAAATTCTGGTCTTTAATGCGTGTGCTATGCTCGGACGCCATGTGCAGACTGGTACAAACTTGCTAAGCCAGTTAAAGGTATCAATTTTCAAATTTGTAGGTAGTAAATTAAGGTGAATATTTTTTTAACGGTAATTATAAAGTTAGCCGAGGACACATTTTAAGAGTATTGATTCTTAATAATTTATGTTATTTATATAAAATAGCTCGTGTAGAGTATTAAGGAAACTATCCCTATTTAAGAATATTGTACTATAATTTCATTTTTTATAAGGGCTTTAGCCATATTGAATAAAAACTGAATGAAAATGTAAAATGGGACATGAATGGTAATTAGAATTTGGATGTTTGGAAACAAATTGCTCCGAATTCAATAAACAAATCTGGATTATAATAATTTAGTTTAGATCCGTAATACTTATGTCCATAAGATAATATTATCAAAGGAAAAATATTTGCAATGTGAAAGATTCTTTATCATACGCCGCGTAATATGCACATTCTTGAAGAAATACCCCATAAAGAATTAAATAAATAAATTAAATGAGAAATACAAAGCCCTTCCTTCCAAAGGAATTTAGAGAGCTTTATTAAATTATCTATTATATAAAAGTTCCCAATGGCATATATCTATGTGCCAAGGTTTTGCTACAAAAGTAAAAAAAAAACTTCGTATAAGTGTAATTTTTTGTCGGTCTTTAGACGATTATCGGAATAGATGATGTTAAATTCTTAGATCCTCCAATATCAATCAAATCGCAGCCAATTTCTTCACGCAGTAGGCACTTCATACAACAAAACGACTTCATATAAACCGGGTTGGAAGCAAAAATAAGGTAACGACAAGTAAAACTTTGATTGTGACACTATCGAGAAACATATGGAAACGAAGGGAAGTTACGATAAACGCACTAAGCAAAATCTCGATTCACTCAATCTCAGAAACTCGGAAGATTACTTACAGCAGCATATTCTGGCCCATGAAAATAATAGAAATAATCATGAGCTATGATCATAGGATTTGGTATTTCATGGAAACGGCATTGTCAAAAAAACCGGTCATGTGCGAGTCGACCTTTCGCAAGGAGGGTTCCTTAGCGTAAAGGGAAAAATATACACGTTAGTTGTATAACAACCCCTTAAATAATTATTTTATTCTATCTTTTTGTATTTTTTATTACACCGCCAGCAGGTATCTATCACGGTTCATGAGATACAGACAGATAGACAGAGAGATGGACAGCGGAGTATCAGTAATAGGGTCCCGTTTTTCACTTTTTGGGTATGAAACACTAAAACAAATCTCATTGCAAAAAATCTTCACTAAAACCTTCACACATATTGTTACCATTTCATCGATAAAGTAAATAATACCGTGGTTGCAGTATTGCAGTATACTACTATTCATATTTTGTGTATAGTTCTCACCCTCAACAAAGCTTGAATTTGTCATAATAAGTATTATTTTACGATTTTCAAGCCTATTTATTTACGAAAATAAACATTTTTATTCTAGAGTTCCTATGTGACTACCAACATAACAAGATAATTTAGGCTACGTAGTTCTCCCAGATTTTTTTTTTATATTAAAACAAATCAACTTTAATCTTTAAAACTAAAAAAGTGCAATAAGAAACCAGTGAAACTGAAAACCTATTCTTATTTTTTGATGTTGGTTAAAAATAAATTACTCCAAATACTGATACCATACAAACGAACTTGCAGGCAAAAGTTAGGGCCACATAAACTCGGCACTTAATTAAAACTTTTAATCTTTCAAGCATCTGTAATTTTAACTTTCTAAGTGTATAAGTTATTACTTTA